TGTCATGGTGACAGCAAGTACGCAGACTGACACCCAAGAGGTTGAATGTCAGACTGACTCTCTTACTGATCTTATGCATGAACCTTCTTGTACACCTCTGTTCAACAATGTCTCTCCAGTTGATTTTCTCAATTTTGTTATTTGCCTGGTTGCCAACCTTGGAACGAATCGTGCCTTCAAGTCTGATGGTCTACAGACGATAGCATCAGCTGCACATTTCTGCTGGGGTTAAAGTTGTCCTCTGAGGATCTGACGAGCATGGTTAAGGGTCAACAATGGAAGTCATAATCCTTATTATGGCTCTCTTAATCCTTCAGTGGAATGCTAGGTCTATTAATGCTAATGGTCCAGGGTTTAAAGTTTTTGTCAACAATCTTGATCCCATTCCAGATGTTATATGTCTTCAGGAGACGTTTTTGAATCCTTATCAGCGATTCCGTTGGGAAGGATATGTCTGTCTACGTAAAGACCGTCCGATCGGGTCAAGAGGTGGTTGTGCTATACTCATAAAGGATTCGTTATCATTTAGTGAACTTAGGTTGCCACAGTCCAAAACAGAAGCGAATGCAGTTACTATTCATTTGAAGGATATGAGATCGGTCTCGATTTTTAATATCTACAATAAAGCTCATGCTTCCAGCGATGATTACATTTCTCTTTTTGAATGTGTCAGATAATCTTAAAGTATTATGTGGTGATTTTAGTCATCATCCGTTGTGGAGGAGCTGTTAAGTTGGATGTTGGAGGTAAGGCCATTGAGACACTCCTTGATGAACAGAATCTTTTCCTTCTGAATGATGGCTCTATGACCCGGTATGACTTGGCTTCTGCTTCATTTTCAGCCCTGGATTTGACCATTGTCAGTCCACAACTAGCTCCACACTGTGATTGGGAAGTCTATTTTCGGGATTCTTTTGGCAGTGATCATTATCCTGTGTTTACCAGCTTTCAACTTGACCCGATAATGGAATTAAGAGTAACACCTCAGCGATGGACTTTCTCTAAAGCTGACTGGTCTGCATTTACTGCTTTGTGCTCTGACACTGTCACGCCAGCTATAAATTCGCTTGACCTTGAACACTTTCATACCTGCTTTGTTTCTAACATTATTAATGCTGCTACTAGAACCATGGGCAGAAGTTCAGGTAAACGTCCTCTTAAACCGCCAGTATGTTGGTGGACGGATGCGTGTCAATCAGCACACGATGCTAGGAGGGCAAAAACTGGTTGAAAAATCAGCTTTACCATCTGATTTGATGGAGTTTCGGCGTGCTTCCACTTTCCTCAAACGAACTGTTACTGAAGCTAAACGTTGGTCTTGGTCTAAGTACACAAGTTCAATAAACAAAAATACACCTCTTTCTCAGGTATGGAGAAAAGTGAAAATTCTTTCTGGTAGTTCCTGTTCTAACCGTGCTATTCCATCTATTGGTAAAGACACACCAGCAACAACAAATATTGACAAGAGTAATGCACTGGCAAAGTCCTTTCAAAATTATCTAGTACAGATAACTTTAATTCAGACTTCGGCTCATTAAAAGTCACTTGAATCAGAGTATTCTGATATCTTACACTGTCCCACACATCATATCGCAGACTACAACTCTTTATTTAGTTTGCAGGAATTAAGAATGCCATCTCTGGACGAAAAATACCTCTCCAGGTGACGATTTATTGTGTGATGATATGTTCAAACATCTGCCAATTATCAGCCTTGACACTATGCTTTTACTTTTTAATCACATTTGGTTTGAAAGCAAACTTCCCATTTCTTGGAAAAAGGCAATTGTAGTTCCTATTCCAAAGCCTGGTAAAGATCCTACTCAAGCCACATCCTACAGGCCTATTGCTCTTACCTCCAACATGTGCAAAATAATGGAGAGAATGGTAAATAACCGTCTGGTTTACTTCATGGAGAAGAACAATCTCTTTTCAGGTGTCCAGTCAGACTTTCGAAAAAACAGATCTTGTGCTGATCATTTAGTGCGACTTGAAACCGAAATTAAAAAGGCACTAGGTAGCACTGAATATCTACTGGCTGTTTTCATGGACATTGAGAAAGCCTATGACATGTTATGGACGGACGGTTTAGTAATAAAACTGTATAAGCTTGGAGTTAGTGGCCGCATGCTTGACTGGATAAAAGATTTCTTGAGGGATAGAACTATACAAGTTCGCATTGGAACTTCTCTGTCGGATGTATACATGTTAGAGAATGGAACACCTCAAGGTAGTGTCATCAGCCCAACCTTATTTAATGTTATGATTAATGACCTGTTTGGGAATATCAGTGAAATGGTCGAAACATCACAGTTTGCAGATGATGGAGCGTTGTGGAAAAGGTCCAGTAATTTTGACACTGTCTTTAACGGCATTCAACAATCTCTTCATCTTGTACAGACTTGGTGTGTCCATTGGGGTTTTAAGATTTCAGCTTCTAAATCGTCTGCAATCATTTTTACTCGGAAGCATTCTCTTCCCACAGAGGTTACTTGTCATATCTTCCTACGTAACCTCTGTTCTAATACGGCCATATTTCCGGGTTCTCGTAAAATCACCTAGCGGCAAAAGATCGCAACACGAATTATCTCCCTTCTTTCTATCCAATCAGAACACGTGTTACATCGACTTAGATTCAACTTGACTAACACAAGCAAATGTGAGGCCACAAATATCCCCCATCTGGCGGGGACTTGTGTTGATGTTACACACAAGACGTTTAACGGCTAGCTTGTCCGTTGTCAACGAGGGCGATGGAGACGCCACTGATCCACCATAACATGACTGAGTTCTGTCTAGAAGAAACGTTTGCGCATCGCGCAGGGGAATAGGTTTAGTTTTCTCGAAGTATACGGAAATTACCGAGGCCTTACGAATGATCACTTTTGAAACAACGTCGCTGATTGCACAACTAAATCTGATTACCTCCAATCACGAGTCTTGAACGCTCACACCATGAAAGGGCCGTATTAGAACAGAGGTTACGTAGGAAGATATGACAGGAGTAACCTCTGTGGGAAGAGAATGACTCGGAAGAAGATTCCACATAATTCAAAATTGGTTTTGTGCGGTTCTCCTTTGGAGTTTGTGGATAAAGTCAAGTTTTTGGGACTCTGGTTTGATAAGAGGCTTACTTGGAAACCTCATATAGACTATTTGATTCAGAAATGCACTAAAGTCCTGAACCTTCTGAGAAGTATTTCCAGTACCAAATGGGGTGCAGACAGGACGTGTTTGTTACTGTTGTATCGTGCCCTCATTAGATCACGACTTGATTTCGGCTGTCAAGCCTATGGATCTGCATGTGCTACACAAAAGGCAAGACTAGCTGTTGTTCAGTCAAAAGCCCTACGAATATGCCTTGGAGCATTTAGAACTACCCCTGTTGAGGCTCTCCATGTTGAATCTGGTGAACTGCCTTAAGATCTCAGACGTGAACTGTTAGAAGTTCGGTACATGCTTAAATTGAAATCTTTTGGAATGAAACACCCTACTTCAGCTGTATTGGGAGATTGTGTTGAGTATTTCCTAGATCCTTGGAAAGACGGTATGGGGCCTTATGGGATGCGTTCTCAGAGAACTGCTTTCCATCATAATGTCCGTGATGTTGCCATAGCTGATGTTAGTGTTCTGCCAAAGAAGCCACCATGGTTGCTTGACCTTCCATCAGTTTATCTTGACGTTCTGGAACAAGCAAATAAATCTGATCCGGCGCCTCTTGTTAAAGCTCTTGCCGAGGAACATATCCGAAGTTTACAGTGGATCAATGCAATGCAGATTTACACTGATGGATCTAAGTGCTCAGTGTCCGGTCGTGTTGGTGCAGGTATCTTCATAGCCACTGATAAAAGAGAAATATCTCTACGATTAGCTGATCACTTATCTGTATTCTCTGCTGAACTTGCAGCAATCATTGAAGCTTTGCGGTGGATTCATTTTTTGAGACCTGTATCAGCGGTCATTTTCAGTGATTCTGTCAGTTCTTTACAAGCAATCCAGACAGGTGCCTCCTCAGCAAGACAAGACTTGATCAATATTATCCTTGATCTTTCTAATGAATTAAGTAAAGACCTGTTAGATGTTGAGTTTTCATGGATACCAGCTCATGTTGGAATCTTTGGAAATGAAAAAGCTGATCATTTGGCAAAAGCTGCATTAGATTTTGATGTCTCAGAACAGGATGAGACAATATTGCCCTCTCCTGCAGAATTATGCACAGTCAGTAAGACCCATGCGCAAGCGAAATGGCAACAGAGATGGACCTCATCCTTAAAAGGACGCCATCTTTATGGCATTGAGCCTTATATAGCTAAAGCAAAATTATATAGAAACAATCGTAGGGAAGAGGTTCTTTTATCCAGACTTCGTCTTGGGCATTGTGGTCTTGGTGCATATCTAAACATTATTAATAATGATATTCCTGCAAATTGCACAGTGTGTAATCAGCTAGATGATGTTGCTCATTTTTTTACTGCATTGTCAAAAATATGTAACTCATCATAAGGCGATGGTGGGATCTTTGACAGCGCTTAATATTGACCTCTCCTTGACTGGATTGTTGTGTAATATCACTCGCAATGATGTTAAGAATGTCATTCTTGCTTACATTAAAGCTTGTGGCAGCTTTACTACTTTGTAAACATGTATAAACGAAGCAAACCTTTATGATGGGCAAGGTGTAAATGGGCCCAGTTGCCCGAACACCTATCAAACTTTCAATTATCCTCCTCCTAAGAAATATCCGCTCGCCTCGTTGTTTAAAACACCAACTTCTAAATGCCACTCAAAGAAGTTAGCATGCTCCAGTTCCATAGCGGTAAACAATTTAAACTAATATTACAGGTAATATTTTATAGCTTGTTGTCTTGTTTTGTTTTCTTGTTTGGTTTGGGGTTTTCCATAAAAAATAGTCGAACAAAATATATAGTAAACAATGTTAAAATTCATAACAAAACAATGAAACAATAAAACAATTGTTTTCATGCGCCTACAAATCTTACGCGTTGTTTAGAAACATCCCACCGAACAACACCATCGGCATGAGGGAAGGGGCAACAATCGCTAGTGCTATCTCCGCCGACGGGGACGCCGTGGATATCATGTACCCTGCAACAGACAAGCCAAGGGCGATCTGAGAATTGTCAGGAAGTCCAATCAATCGATCAATCTTTATTTACTCAAAATGAGCAAAACACAAAATAAATATATTACAGATAATACATGCGTCTTTATTTATGAATTTAGACAGGCATTTCAGTTCTTTTGTGCATTTAGGTGTCAAAAGTTTACAAAGGTTATATGCATTTGAGTATTGATAATATAGTTTTGGAATATACAATAATCTGGTTGGGAGAAGAGCTTCACATCTAAAGATGTAATGAACCTTATCTCCCTTTCAGGGGTGGAAATAACTTTAAAATTGCTAGTGGACTCCGGTACAGTGGCATATGTAAAATCACTTGCCCTGATAATTTTTCCACTATACCGGCCGTTTTCTTGTTGATTTTTGAAATAAACAACATAATTAACATTGGAATATCAACTGGACACTGGTACAGTGTGATATACAAATTTGCTTGCCCGACAGAAAAAAACACTGGACTCGGGCGTCGGGCAATGGGTTATTTCTACCCCTGCCTTTACATTCTGGTTGCATAGTTTACATAAACGATCTTCCCTCGCAGCGCCCTGCCACCGGCCAGTCTCTATGGGTAAGTTATGATTTGAAGTGCGGAATCTTAGAATAGGGATAGAGACAGAATTAGGTAATAGTAAGTTTTGTTCAAATTGTATTGATTGTTTAAAATGTTTATATAGAATGCCCTTAGAGCTAGATTCAATGTTTTCAATGTTCAAGGTTAATTGGAAAAGCAACGATTACACTTTGCGATATACACAGGAGAGACATACACTGATATACTGATGAAGCCTGAAGAGATACAAACAAGATTTGGAATGGGGAATATTCCTCAGTTATCTCCCTTTACCGCTTCGCCAATAGCTCCAAGCAGGCAAGGGCACGCAACTCCAGGAATGTTCCCCCATTGTGAGTAGGAAGGTGTTGTGTTTCAAAACAAGAAATGGTGTATACTGGTGACGTATTTGATACGGTTAACATAGTGTTTTTGATGCAGTGTTTTGGCGCCTGTTTTCAGCCTAGCAACGATTCGATAACGTTTTTAATTCTATTTGCAAGCGTATACATTCTTTTACATGGCAATTTGCATTACAATTTTTCATTAATGATTGCATTTTTTGCATCTTATTTCTATTTAAATCAAACACTGTGCCATTCATAATGCGTTAGATTCGCTAGTGATTCGCATCGTGGATGCCAAGGCTTTAGACTTCTCCCAACTAGCTAATAATGGCGTTGCCAGATGAATGTCCAGTTAGGTAGTCATAGCATAAATGATACATCCCTTCTACTTTATATGTTTTGAATAACGTCAACAACATACTGATTAAACAAGAATACATATATATTTTATATAATCTCATACTGACGTTCATTTTAGGAGCAGGCTTTAAATGGGAGTTACGCTGCACGGTAAGGTGCCATTGAACGAAACAAACTCACAGTTACATGTAAGCAGGGAGACTATATAAGTTGTAGAGTACCCCTGATGTAAGTGAGTTTACGCCGCTTTAAGCAATATTCCAGCAATATCACGGCGGGGGACACCAGAAATTGGCTTCACACATTGTGCCCATCACAGCTACGACTTTCTAAGTCTATGACAGACATGAGCGTTACGATAGTGCTAACATCGTTTCGTACAGCACACTGGCCCCGATTTTTAGCCTTCAGTTCCTTGGTGGCATTGAGTAATTGATTGTGTTATTTAGGGTTATCATTAACTATCCTACGTCATGAATGCTGGGGGCGGTAGAGTAGCCTAATAGTTAAAGCGTTCGCTCGTCACGCTGAAGACCCGGGTTCGATTCTCCACATGTATACAATGTGTAAAGCCCATTTCTGGTGTCCCCTGTCGTGACATTGATCGAATATTGCTAAAAGGGACGTAAAACCGTACTCACTCATGAATTTTGGGGAATCCCTTGTGTCGAACGTACGGTTGTGTCGAAGTAAAAGTATAGTTTTGTCCCTTCGTAATCCTTCTTTAGTGATCATTTGCGGTTGGGTCGAACAGATAACTCGAAGTATTACTAATACTTCGACAAAGTGGTGCTTGACTGTACTTAAGGGTCGAGAATATAACTTGCTGGGTCTGCTAATTTTCTGAGTTTAGTGCCCCTTTAACACATTGAGCAACGTCTCCATTGTTTCACGACGTTCTGGATTCACTAATCTCACCAATCACTCACCAAAGGATAGCGCAACATTGGAGCAAAGTATGAATGTCCCGGCACAGATCAGAAACGCCATTCCGTCGCTATATAATCCTGAAAAAGGAAGTGATTCCAGGTGAGAAATCTATATTTGTTGTTTAACGTCCCACGCAATATTCCAGCTATAGGTCGGCAGTCTGTAAATAATCGAGTCTGGACAAGACAATCCAGTAATCAACAGCATGAGCACCGATTTACGCATACATAGAGAACATGTGTCAACCAAGTCAGCGTGCCTGACCACCCGATCTGTCGCCTCTTATGACAAGCATGGGTTGTTGAAGACAAATTCTAACCCGGGTATTCACGTGTCTTGTAATCTATGCGTGTAGCAATAGGCGCCGCCTTGGATCGGGCGGTCAGGTTTGGTGACTTGGTTAATGGCCTGTTTACGTGGAACGCTGCTTCCATTATCAATCACCGGTTTGTTTGGTCGCCGTGATATATCTGTAATTGCTGTTCGTGCTTTCAAAACACCGAAAAAGCACGTAACATGCAGTGTGTATATGTATAATGCACACACTGAAACACACAACTATGCTGAAAGGGTGTCGGCCCGATACCGCGAAAATCTCAAATTACAGAGAACCGAAACCTCGAGAAAAAGATTGCAACCTATCCTGACTGTGAGCAAGAGTCACATTGCATTCTCATCTTACGGGGTACCCATTCACTGCTGGGTTAACGGCACATGTCAAACATAGTAACCCGCTGAAGAGACACCACATAGCATATGCTTGTGGGGGCTGGACCGATGAGGAAGCCGGAGTAAGCTGCTTAACGCCGTCACCCATCCACCTACTCTCCGCCACCATCACCTGATTTGTGATCTGTTCGATGTACACAGGGCAACGCGTCATCAGTTTTAATGAATTATGGTAAGTACAATAACTTACCTATCATCCAATAAAGGATTGCTACAAAGATCAACGGCACGGCGCAAAAGGTTGGAAGCTGAAAACAAATTTAATCGGCTGTCAATTGATGGTAAAGGTGTTCTCTTCGTTTCATACATCACGCAAAACGAATTATAGATTTAAGGGATTTAACAAACATGGGAGTAAGGTCTAATCTGGGAGAGGGTTTTTAGAAAGGTAGGAGTAAGGTCTAATCTGGGAGAGAGTTTTAGAAAGGTAGCAGTAAAGTCTCACCTCGGCGAGGGTTCTAGAAAGGTAGCATTGAGGTCTCACCTTGGCAAGGGTTTTAGAAAGGTAGCATTAAGGTCTCACCTCGGCGAGGGTTTAAGAAAGGTGGGAGTAAGGTCTCACCTTGGCGAGGGTTTTAGAAAGGTAGCATTAAGGTCTCACCTCGGCGAGGGTTTAAGAAAGGTAGCATTAAGGTCTCACCTTGGCAAGGGTTTTAGAAAGGTAGCATTAAGGTCTCACCTCGGCGAGGGTTTAAGAAAGGTGGGAGTAAGGTCTCACCTTGGCGAGGGTTTTAGAAAGGTAGCATTAAGATCTCACCTCGGCGAGGGTTTTAGAAAGGTAGCATTAACGTCTCACCTCGGCGAGGGTTTAAGAAAGGTAGCATTAAGGTCTCACCTCGGCGAGGGTTTTAGAAAGGTAGCAGTAAGGTCTCACCTCATGCGGGTTTAGAAAGGTAGCACCTTAAGGGTTCAGGAAGAGAAAGGTCCACCTCGGCGAGGGTTTTAAGAAAGGTAGGAATAAGGTCTCACCTCGGCGAGGGTTTAAGAAAGGTAGCATTAAGGTCTCACCTCGGCGAGGGTTTAAGAAAGGTGGGAATAAGGTCTCACCTCGTCGAGGGTTTTAGAAAGGTAGCATTAAGGTCTCACCTCGGCGAGGGTTTTAGAAAGGTAGCATTAAGGTCTCACCTCGGCGAGGGTTTTAGAAAGGTAGCATTAAGGTCTCACCTTGGCGAGGGTTTTAGAAAGGTAGCAGTAAGGTCTCACTTCGGCGAGGGCTCTAGAAATAGGAATAAGGTCTCACCCTCATGAGGGTTTTAGAAAGGTAGGGTCTCACCCCCATGAGGCCTAAAGGTAGGAGTAGGTCTCATCTCATCTCGGCGAGGGTTTTGAAAGGTAGGAATAAGGTCTCACCTCGGCGAGGGTTTTGGAAATAGAAGGTAGCAGTGTCTCACTTCGGCGAGGGTTTTAGAAAGGTAGGAATAAGGTCTCACCTCGGCGAGGGTTTTAGAAAGGTAGCATTAAGGTCTCACCTCGGCGGTTTTAGAAAGGTAGGAGTTTCACCTCGAAAGGTTTTAGCGAGGTAGGTAAGGTCTCACCTCGGCGAGGGTTTTAGAAAGGTAGGAGTAAGGTCTCATCTCGGCGAGGGTTTTAGAAAGGTAGGAATAAGGTCTCACCTCGGCGAGAGGTTTTTAGAAAGGTAGGAATAAGGTCTCATCTCGGCGAGGGTTTTAGAAAGGTAGGATAAAGGTCTCACCTTTTAGAAAGGCGAGGGTCTTTAGGGTTTTGCTAGAAGGTAGGAATAAGGTCTCATCTCAAGGGTTTTAGAAAAGGTAGGAATAAGGTCTCACCTCGGCGAGGGTTTTAGAAAGGTAGGAATAAGGTCTCACCTCGGCGAGGGTTTTAGAAAGGTAGGAAGAAGGTCTCATCTCGGCGAGGGTTTTAGAAAGGTAGGCCCGAGTAAGGTCTCACCTCGGCGAGGGTTTTTAGAAAGGTAGGAGTAAGGTCTCACCTCGGCGAGGGTTTTAGAAAGGTAGGAGTAAGGTCTCATCTCATCGGCGAGGGTTTAGAAAGGTAGGAAGAAGGTCTCACCTCGGCGAGGGTTTTAGAAAGGTAGCAGTAAGGTCTCACCTCGGCGAGGGTTTTAGAAAGGTAGGAATAAGGTCTCATCCTCGGCGAGGGTTTTAGAAAGCTGTAGGAATAAGGTCTCATCTCGGCGAGGGTTTTAGAAAGGTAGGGAATAAGGTCTCATCCTCGGCGAGGGTTTTAGAAAGGTAGGAATAAGGTCTCACCTCGGCGAGGGTTTTAGAAAGGTAGAGGGTTTTAGTAAGGTCTCACCTCGGCGAGGGTTTTAGAAAGGTAGGAATAAGGTCTCATCCCCGCAAGGAGTCGGCGAGGGTTTTAGAAAGGTAGCAATAAGGTCTCACCTCAAGCGGCCTTTTAGGGTTTTAGAAAAGGTCTCAGGAAGGGCTTTTTAGAAAGCGTAAGGTCTCACCTCGGCGAGGGTTTTAGAAAGGTAGGAATAAGGTCTCATCTCGGCGAGGGTTTTAGAAAGGTAGGAAGAAGGTCTCACCTCGGCGAGGGTTTTAGAAAGGTAGGAGTAAGGTCTCATCTCGGCGAGGGTTTTAGAAAGGTAGGAATAAGGTCTCATCTCGGCGAAAGGTAGTTTTAGAAAGGGTAGGAATAAGGTCTCATCTCGGCGAGGGTTTTAGAAAGGTAGGAATAAGGTCTCATCTCACCTCGGCGAGGGTTTTAGAAAGGTAGGAATAAGGTCTCACCTCGGCGAGGGTTTTAGAAAGGTAGGAATAAGGTCTCATCCTTCGGCGGAGGGTTTCACCTCAAGGCGAGGGTTTAAAGGTAGGAGACAAGGTCTCATCTCGGCGAGGGTTTTAGAAAGGTAGGAAATAAGGTCTCACCTCGGCGAGGTTTTAGAAAGGCGTAGGGTTTAGAAGGTCTCACCTCGGTTTTAGAAAGGTAGGGTAGGTCTCCTCGGCGAGGGTTTTAGAAAGGTAGGAATAAGGTCTCACCTCGGCGAGGGTTTTAGAAAGGTAGTGGTCTCACCTCGAGGGTTTTAGAAAGGTAAAGGTCTCATCTCTCGGCGAGGGTTTTAGAAAGGTAGGAATAAAGGTCTCATCTCGGCGTAGGGTTTAGAAAGGTAGGAAGGTCTCATCTCGGCGAGGGTCTCACCTCTCATCTCTCATGTAGGGGTTTAGAAAGGTAGGAATAAGGTCTCATCTCATCTCGGCGAGGGTTTTAGAAAGGTAGGAATAAGGTCTCACCTCGGCGAGGGTTTTAGAAAGGTAGGAATAAGGTCTCACCTCGGCGAGGGTTTTAGAAAGGTAGGAATAAGGTCTCATCTCGGCGAGGGTTTTGGAAGGTAGGAATAAAGGTCTCACCTCTCACGTAGGGTTTTAGAAAGGTAGGAGTAAGGTCTCACCTCGGCGAGGGTTTTAGAAAGGTAGGAGTAAGGTCTCATCTCGGCGAGGGTTTAGAAAGGTAGGAAGAAGGTCTCATCTCGGCGAGGGTTTTAGAAAGGTAGGAAGAAGGTCTCACCTCGGTGGGGGTTTTAGAAAAGGTAGGATAAGGTCTCATCTCGGCGAGGGTTTTAGAAAGGTAAGAGTAAGGTCTCATCTCGGTGAGGGTTTTAGGAAAGGTAGGATAAGGTCTCACCTCTGGCTGAGGGTTTAGAAAGGTAGGGTTTTAGAAAGGTAGGAGTAAGGTCTCATCTCGGCGAGGGTTTTAGAAAGGTAGGAGTAAGGTCTCACCTCGGCGAGGGTTTTAGAAAGAGTAGGAATAAGGTCTCATCTCGGCAGGGTTTTAGAAAGGTAGGAATAAGGTCTCACCTCATTGGGTTTTAGAAAGGTAGGAGTAAAGGTCTCATCTCGGCGAGGGTTTAGGGTAGGGGAAGGATCAGTCTTGGTAGAAATGGAAGGGGGTCTCATCTCAAAGCAGGGTTTTAGAAAAGGTAGGAATAAGGTCTCATCTCGGCAGGGTTTTAGAAAGGTAGGAGTAAGGTCTCACCTCTTGAAGGGTTTTAGAAAGGTAGGGAATAAAGGTCTCATCTCGGCTAGGGTCTTTGGAAAGGTAGGAGTAAAGGTCTCATCTCGGCGAGGGTTTTAGAAAGGTAGGAATAAAGGTCTCATCTCCAGGGAGGGTTTAGAAAGGTAGGAATAAGGTCTCACCTCAAGCAAGGTTTTAGAAAGGTAAGGAATAAGGTCTCATCTCGGCGAGGGTTTTAGAAAGGTAAGAGTAAGGTCTCACCTCGGCGAGGGTTTTAGAAAGGTAGGAATAAGGTCTCACCTCGGCGAGGGTTTTAGAAAAGGTAGGAATAAGGTCTCACCTCGGCGAGGGTTTTAGAAAGGTAAGAATAAGGTCTCACCTCGGGCGAGGGTTTTAGAAAAGGTAGGATCTAAGGTCTCATCTCGGCGAGGGTTTTAGAAAGGTAGGAATAAGGTCTCATCTCGGCGAGGGTTTTAGAAAGGTAGGAATAAAGGTCTCACCTCGGCGAGGGTTTTAGAATAAGGTCTCATCTCGGAGGGTTTTACTAAGTAAGGTCTCATCTCGGCGAGGGTTTTAGAAAGGTAGGAGTAAGGTCTCATCTCGGCGAGGGTTTTAGGTTTTTGTGCTCTCATCTCACCTCGAGGTTTTAGAAAGGTAAATAAGGTCTCATCTCGGCGAGGGTTTTAGAAAGGTAGGACCTCGGCGAGGGTCTAGAAAAGGTAGCACCTCGGCGAGGGTTTTAGAAAGGTAGCAGTAAGGTCTCATCTCGGCGAGGGTTTTAGAAAGGTAGGAGTAGGGTCTCACCTCGGCGAGGGTTTTAGAAAGGTAGCAGTAAGGTCTCACCTCGGCGAGGGTTTTAGAAAGGTAGGAGTAGGGTCTCACCTCGGCGAGGGTTTTGGAAAGATAGTACACATCGGTGCGGTACATCCCGCTCCCATACTCCCTCAAGAACACCGACACCTCCTCTGTGAAAGTCTGAAATACGTCATACTTCTTTCAGTGACCGTTATATGTGATATTATTGGGTGTTTACACTGACAGAACCATGTCGTTTGTGTCCCTTAACTGTGACAGGATCCACTAAACGATATCCATACTACATTGTTTCATTTAACCGATAAACATTTTGACCTAGGCCGCCACGTGTCAACGTTTTATGTTTTGGTACTTTTTCTTGAGCTGCGATACTAACATAAATAACAATCTTTTTTATTTCACTGCCAGTTTAGAAAAAGACATAATGAAATTGTACTTTTAACATCTACAATAATGTCGTATTATAACCAACCATGACTGTACTGTATACTGTAACATTGGCAACCGTGAAACATATCATTATAGACAAATTATGATGTTTGTTTAGTAACTGTGAACGAACAGTCGAGTTTGATATCAAGGTTCAAGCAGAGATGGCCTACACACATGTTGAAGAATCGAACCGGAGTCTTCAGCGTGACGAATTATCTCTTTAACCGCAAGCTAGCCTACACTGTCGTCCTTGGGGTATTAAAACATATGATCTAAAACACGCGATCTATCTTGCCACTGAATGACGACGGAGAACGAGCCAACACTTGGTCCCTATAATGATACGGTAATAATTTATTCATATGTATTGTTGTTGATTTACTTGAGATAATGGACTAACGCTAATATAATTTTGATAGAAACAAAGAATCCACCAATTAAGTGGGTTTTTTAACCTATGGGAAACCTAGACTTGCTTGATGATTGTAATATCTCGGCGTTATGAATAATAATATAATTCGGGGATACTGACATAGACAAATTAGGTTCCTAAATTATGGAATGGCCTTATCTTTAGTCCTAAGTGTGAAACTGTAAAATGACCCCTGACGGCGACTTACAGTGACAACAGCGATCAGGCATGTGACGGAGTTCATCATGATGGAGATATACAGGGCACCGTTGATGTTCATCACACCTTTTTGGTCGTATTTCTGGTTGAGATAGACTAGTCCCAGCAACAATGATACCGCCTGCAACATCACCACCAACATGTAGCGCAACAGCAACAACATCAACGACACTGTTCCCAAAACACGGACCACTGTCTTGGATGACACAAGTACTCACCACTGTCTATGTGACACAGGTACTCACCACTGTCTGTATCACACAGGTACTCACCACTGTCTGTATCACACAGGTACCCACCACTGTCTGTATAACACGGGTACTCACCACTGTCTGTATCACACAGGTACTCACTACTGTCTGTATCACACGGGTACTCACCACTGTCTGTATCACACAGGCACTCACCACTGTCTGTATCACACAGGTACTCACCACTGTCTGTATCACACAGGTACTCACCACTGTCTGTATCACACACGTATTCACCACTGTCTGTATCACACAGGTACTCACCACTGTCTGTATCACACAGGTACTCACCATTGTATGTATGACACAGGTACTCACAACTGTCTGCACCACACAGGTACTCACCACTGTCTGCATCACACAGGTATTCACCACTGTCTGTATCACACAGGTACTCACCACTGTCTGTATCACACAGGCACTCACCACTGTCTGTATAACACAGGTACTCACCACTGTCTGCATCACACAAGCACTCACCACTGTCTGTATCACACAGGTATTCACCACTGTCTGTATCACACAGGTACTCACCACTGTCTGTATCACACAGGTACTCACCACTGTCTGTATAACACAGGTACTCACCACTGTCTGCATCACACAAGCACTCACCACTGTCTGTATCACACAGGTACTCACCACTGTCTGTATAACCCAGGTAGTCACCACTGTCTGTATCACACAGGTACTCACCACTGTCTGCATCACACAAGCATCCACCACTGTCTGTATCACACAGGTACTCACCACTGTCTGTATCACACAGGTACTCACCACTGTCTGTATAACACAGGTACTCACCACTGTCTGTATCACACACGTACTCACCACTGTCTGTATAACACAGGTACTCACCACTGTCTGCATCACACAGGTATTCACCACTGTCTGTATCACACAGGTACTCACCACTGTCTGTATAACACAGGTACTCACCACTGTCTGCATCACACAAGCACTCACCACTGTCTGTATCACACAGGTATTCACCACTGTCTGTATCACACAGGTACTCACCACTGTCTGTATAACACAGGTACTCACCACTGTCTGCATCACACAAGCACTAACCACTGTCTGTATCACACAGGTAGTCGACACTGTCTGTATCACACAGGTACTCACCACTGTCTGCATCACACAAGCATCCACCACTGTCTGTATAACACAGGTATTCACCACTGTCTGTATCAGACAGGTACTCACCACTGTATCACACAGGTACTCACCACTGTCTGTATCACACAGGTACTCACCACTGTCTGTATCACACAGGTACTCACCACTGTCTGTATCATACAGGTACTCACATCCGTCGGTATCACACAGGTACTCACCACTGTCTGTATCACACAGGTACTCACCACTGTCTCTATCACACAGGTACTCACCACTGTCTCTATCACACAGGTACTCACCACTGTCTGTATAACACAGGTACTCACCACTGTCTGCATCACACAGGTACTCACATCTGTCTGTATCACACAGGTACTCACCACTGTCTGCATCACACAAGCATCCACCACTGTCTGTATCACACAGGTACTCACCACTGTCTGTATCACACAGGTACTCACCACTGTCTGTATCACACAGGTACTCACCACTGTCTGCATCACACAAGCATCCACCACTGTCTGTATCACACAGGTACTCACCACTGTCTGTATCACACAGGTACTCACCACTGTCTGTATCACACAGGTACTCACCACTGTCTGTATCACACAGGTACTCACCACTGTCTGTATCACACGGGTACTCACCACTGTCTGTATCACACAGGTACTCACCACTGTCTGTATAACCCAGGTAGTCACATCTGTCTGTATCACACAGGTACTCACCACTGTCTGTATAACACAGGTACTCACCACTGTCTGTATCACACAGGTACTCACCACTGTCTGTATCACACAGGTACTCACCAGTGTCTGTATAACACAGGTACTCACCACTGTCTGTATAACCCAGGTAGTCACCACTGTCTGTATCACACAGGTACTCACCACTGTCTGTATCACACAGGTACTCACCACTGTCTGTATCACACAGGTACTTACCACTGTCTGGATGATCCGAGCACTGAATAACGATGCATTTCTGTACACACAGATCCAACTTCTCCACAGTAGAATGGAGAGCTGTCTGATCCAAGTCGTCTGGTACCTGAAGTTGAAGAAAGGCGTAACGCTGAACGCTTCATAAAGCATGGTCCGTCATCAGAGAGTGTTGCAATCGTTACATACATCCCATTTACGGCAATGTCGTACATATGAGCTCACATGATGGATAACAGAGTTAGGAGACGTATACAAACCTATACCGTCCGTTTCCACATGTATCTTCTATCTGTAAACAAAGAATAGTGAGAAAGTGAGAATGTGTTTGTATCGACTTTTGCCAATATGGCAGCAATACCTCACAAGAAACCTTCCAATTGGTTTAATTCCATAACACCAATGTCGATCCTAGATCAGATCTTTCCCAACGACATTATTTTCCCTTCAGTCTTGCATTCTAAGGCACCAGTGAATATCCAGGTTAGAATTGATCTTCAGTAACCCATACAGAGACGAGCCTCCGTGGGGGCATTGGAAAACACAATTTACCAGCCTTACGTTGCAAAATGACGAGAACACTCCCATCACAGGAAGAGCTACAGTGAAGGAGTGGATCCTATATACCTGTCGTGGGAAAATGTTAATGTTTATGTGAAATCTGAGAGATGGAAGTGCTGTGGCGGAAGCTCAAAGGCTGTGAAACAGAAACAGATATTACGAAATGGTAAGTAAATTTTACCAAAATTATTTATGAAAGTCAGTGTGACGTTGTAATGATCATATTTGGTTTAACGCTGCACTCAGCAATATTCCGACTGGACAATCCAGTGATCAGCATCATGAGCATCAATTTACGCAGTAGGGATACGATGACGCGTCAACCAAGCGAGCCTGTTACGACGTAAATTGTAATAAAAACGCAAATTGTAATACTTGCAGCAAATTGTAATACTTGCAGCAAATTGTAATAAACTTGACTTAAATTGTAATAAAAACGTAAATTGTAATAAAAATTGACGTAAATTGTAATACGCAAATTGTAATAAAAATTGACGTCAATTGTAATAATTTTCGTTGCGGTAAAATGTAATAAATGTTTACGTAAATTGTAATAACAGTTTTAATCACTCGTAAATACGCGGGTGTTTGATTTTCGTTGCATTTCATACATCAAATAAGCTTATTAGGGCGATAACTCAAGAAAGAATTGATGGATTTTGTTCAAATTTGGTACCAAGGTATATTGGCGAGATTCACCGACCGAGTGAAATGGAGTGACCTTGAGATAATTTTCAAGGTCACAGCAAAAATCTGAGGGTTTTGCCAATGTAAAGAAAGACTTGACAAATCTTAGCTAAATGACGAAAATGATATTCGTCCTGATATATAATCGATATAAACTGTCCTCTGTATCATGTCTTTTCGCAAATATCTTTTGAGGTTTTGATATGTATACATATAAAGTGGGGATGGGGTAGGAGGTGGGTTTCTAACGGGTATATCTAACACACTTGCATGCATGTAGAGTCGGAGAGGTGGGTGGGTGTTCTAACGGGTATAACTACGAGGGACGTTCAAATAGTAGTCAGCCTCACCTAGAATATGATACAAATGCAGCTGTTTTTATGGGGGTTTTTTCTACATATTATCTGTCAGCCTCAAGCAAATTGGTTTTGCTATGTTGCAGCCTCACGATCCCCATTTTGTGAGACTTTGTATCTTGGCTTGGTACTCCCACAAAAGGTAAAATCTTAAACTTCAGGAAACAAAATATGCTCTGTTTGAGATTGGTAGAAGTCGGCTAGAATTAAACTTAGATATTAAACTGCACAAAAAAGCAATTTCAAAACTACAATCGCTTGTTCAAATGACTCCCCATTCTGTTTACTAAAAGAACTCGAGAAAGAAATGATGGATTTTGTTCAAATTTGGTACCAAGGTTTATTGACTGGAGATTGGAGATTTACCGACACCACTTGAATTTTGTGACCTTGAGGTCATTTTAAAGGTCACAGCGAAGGTGTAACAGTTTTGCACATGCCAAGCTTGGTAGCCGCGAACTCAGGAAAGTATTAATAGATTTTGATCCAATTTTATATCAAGGTGTATTGGCGGGATTCCCCCAACACCAATTGATTGGGAAACTTGTGCTCATTTTAAGTTCACAGTGAAAAGTGTTTTGCTCATGTCTAACTTTTTAGTGCGAAAATACAAGACAGAATTAATATGTTTTGCTTAAAGGTAGTACCAAGATGCGTTGGGAGCATTGTCTAACGCCAGTCGAATTCAGTGACCTTCGGATTATTTTCAAGGTCACAGCGAGTATTCTTGCGATATCTCCAAACCTAATGGATGGAATTTGTTCGCATTTTGTATCAAGGCATCAGATGACAGTTTCGGTAACGTTTACATAATTTTCAGGGTCAGACAGAGGAGAATTGCGACATTCAGATATCGACATGTGGCGGGGGTAATTGAGGGGTAGATTACCTCAATTCATATCTCGGTTTTTAAATAACAGACAATTTCAAGTTCGGGTGGGTTCCACACTGTCTCACTATTTCCACCAAGATCAGGGCGTCCCCCAAGGCAGCATCCTGTCTGTCACACTTTTTAGCATCAAAATTAACAGCCTCACTTACGTCCTGAACAGTTGCGTTGATGGGTCCCTTTTCGTGGATGACTTCAATATCTCATGTCGTGGTAAGAACATGCATGCAATAGAAAGGCAGCTACAACTCTGCCTTAACAAAATCCAAAAATGGGCCAATGAAAATGGTTTCAAGTTTTCAAAATCCAAAACAAATTGTATTCACTTTTGTCGTAAATACAAACCACACAAGGATCCAGACCTAACTTTAGATGGTACTCCCATCAAGGTAGTAGAAGAGGCCAAATTCCTTGGACTCATATTCGACCGCCACCTGACATTCTTACCACACATAAAATATTTGAAAACAAAGTGCTTGAAGGCTCTAGACTTTGCTAAAAGTAGTTTCAAATACAGAGTGGGGAGGATCAGACCACCCTCCTTCACTTGTACAGATCATTAGTTCGCAGTAAACTAGATTATGGCTCCATTGTCTACGGTGGAGCCTGCAAAAGCAATTTAGAAAAATTAGACTCTATCCACCACCAAGGACTGAGGCTCTGCCTGGGAGCTTTTAGGACCTCTCCGGTAGACAGTCTATATGCAGAGGCCAATGAACCTTCCCTTGAACAACGCCGCATTAAACTCTCACTGCGGTATATCACTAATTTACGTTCAAAATGAGTCCAATCCAGCATACAATTGTGTTTTCAACCCGCTCTATGAAAACTTATTTCCTAAACTGCCAAGCCTGGTTCCACCACTTGGAATCAGGATCAAACCACACATAACTGCAGCTAAAATTGATCTCGACATCATTGCACCATACCGACTTCTATCCTCACCACCATGGCAAATGGTGAAACCACAGGTCGATCTCACCCTCACCAAACTCAAAAAGTCTGAAACAAATCCCTTGGTGTTCCAACAGGAATACAACCAATTACGTTCTAAGTATAACACTCACAGATCCATTTTCACAGACGGATCCAAGGACGATGGCCAAGTTGCCAGCGCTACAGTCATTGGAGCCAAGACTGTCTCCTCTAGGATCCCCGACAACAGTTCCATTTTCACCGCTGAAGCCAAAACATCTTCTCAGCTTTGACCTACATTCAACAGCAAAATCAGTCCAAAAACTTCATCGTATTTACAGATTCATTATCCTGCCTTCAAGCACTTCTAAATGTGACTTCAAGTCACCCAATCATCCTGGACATATTAGAACTGTACAACGACCTTTCTACTGGCCAATATGACATCATCCTCTGCTGGTTGCCGGGTCACGTCGGCATAGCAGGTAACACTAAGGCCGATGCTGCAGCAAAAGCAGCTCTTGAAAAGCCCCTATCTCCACTGCTAATCCCATACAGTGACTTCAAACCCACTATCAAAAGCTATACTCGGGACCTGATGCAAAAAAGATGGGACACTCAAGTAGGAAGAAACAAACTCCATGAATTGAAGCCAACAATCGGTTATACCTACTTGGGTTGTCAGTCAAGACGCGATGAGGTAATTTTACGACGATGTCGTATTGGCCACAGATCGATTTACACATGACTATCTGCTGAAAACGGATGGGGTGTTCACCGTCAAGCATATTCTGCTTGAATGCGTGGACTTATCGCCTGCAAGGGACTCACATTATGATGCAACAAACCTAAAAGATCTGTTCTCACGCGTGAGCGCCCATCTGATACTGAACTACCTGAGGGAAGTTGATCTGTATCATAAATTGTAACTGTGAAATGTAACAACCATAAATTGTAACTATGAAATGTAACAAACCGCCTGCCTTTATATTTGATGCTATGACTTTTTCTGCTTTTGAATGACAATGTAATCAATAAATGTCTTTGAAATAAAACTCATTCCGAGTATGTACTTACAATATTTACTAATGCAAACTTGTTCTCGTCACTATATGGCTGGAAAAATGCCGATGTGACGTAAAGCTCAACTCAACTCAACTCAACTCAACTCAACTAATTTTCAAATTTTTGTTAGCATATGGTTTCTATAATTTCATGTTAATTCTACCAGCTGTGAAATTATTCGTGACACGTCTTAAAAAAGCCAGAGATTATTTGTGTATGTTTCGAAAATTAAAGTTAATTGTTTTTCATTATGGAGTTATTTTCGATGTTGACGCAAGGACATATTTTACGAGCAATAGCTTTCAATAATTTAATGTTATTTCTATTACATTTTGAAGTTCTTCATAGCATATCCCAAAATAACAGGATATTGTTTGTTTACGCTTTGAAATGTACGTTTCTTCTTCTTCATTTTCGAATTATTTTCAATGTTGACGCAAGGATATATTTGAAGTCAATTTTATGTTTTGATCATATGTGATTTATTCTGATTTATATGTTTCGATCATACATTCATATATTGCGTTGTCATAGTTTAACCTGGTTCGTATTATTTTCTTCATCATATTACTACATATTATTGTATTTTATGAGAGGGAATTTTAAGTTACATTTGCTAAGGATATCATAAATCGCTGGCGCCTGGTTATTCCTTGCCACATAGCAGTCAATCTGTCTACTCATTTGTTGTATTTGATTGATGCATTTAAAATAAAATGTAGAAATGATATTGAATTGCATCATTTGCTTCAAGGAATCGATCAGATGTGCTCGTTATCAAAGTAAAGTCAAAACTTCTTTCTGTAAGGTATACAGTGG